TTCAGAAGACTTAAGCGCTTTGTCCAGAATCACAAGCCTGATAAGGAGGAAGTTAGAATCATATTCAGGGCCCTCAATTCCAAAGCCCACAGTCTTAAGCATTTCACAGAAAATTGATTTCCTGATGCAAAATTAATTTAATTGAGAAAACTCCTGAGAGCAAGTAAGTGTGTATGTGTGGGATGGGAAGTATGCAGGGAGGAAGACCAGGGAGAGAAACAAATTAAGAAAGAAAACAGTAAAAATGATACAAGGGACCTAAAACTCCAGTTAATAACCAAAAGGTGGCATCACCAGCACTGGGTAGCTTGGTTGCTGCCTAGCATGGTAATGAGGCTGGGTTGATACATCCTGTGGATGAGGAAGTGTTGTTTTAATACGGATGTTGGTAATTGCCTATCAGGGAGTATTTGACATAAAATATATGTGCAAAAATGGATTAGTACATCAAGTTTCAAGGAATCCATAGCCTATTTTAGCAGAAGTCAGTTATCAAGGTAGAGTTCGTGGAACTGGGTGTGGGTCTTGAATGACATGAAACAATTGAATAGGTAGAAAGGAAGGATAAGGGCATTTTAAATGAGAGCAGCATTTCTTGCCTTATCCCCATTACCCAGCCATCTTTCTTTGGTGGTCTCATTGTTCTTTGTCTCTTTATCAGATTACAACACTTATCATGTCATATTGGAATTTTCTCTTTACCCATCTATGTTCCACACTTGACTGTAAGATCCTTGAGGAAAAGGACTGTGTCTTATACTTCTTTGGGGTCCCGATCTATAGGCTCAGGGCTTGGCATGTAGCAGACACTCAATATAAGCTTATTGTAATGAAGGTGTAGAAAGGACAAACTAAGTGGAAGAGCAAATTAATATCTAGCTTAAAAAAAAAATCTGATTTTAAAAATGAGAAAAAAATTGCTTCATGTCAGTCTTTCCCTGAAGGATATTTATATACAAGAAACCTGAATACCTTACTAGCCCTGTGTGATAGAATTCCTTTAGACAAATTAGCATTGGACAAGTGGTCATAAAAGAGCCTGTTCCATTCTCCGAACCATCCTCTGTTCCATGATCAGCTGCAGAGATGGGAATTAAGAGCAATATGAGGTTCCTAAATTTGCTACAACAGCTACCACATTTTCCCTGGCCTGCCCCATTGAGCAGACCTTGGCTATGAGCAGGGAGCACACTTAGATAACAAAGATGATAGTTCTGCTGGTAATGCTGTGAAAGTTTTGTGCTTGGCTCAGTAACACACACCTGTGGTTCTTCAGGGGTGATGAGCTTAGGTCCTGGAGAAGCTGCTCTCCCTCCTGGTGGCTTCACTGGCCCTACAGGGCTACAGTTGTCAGCACCCAGAGAGGGAGGGGCAAAGACAGAGTTTGGGAATTCTACAGTGAGTACTGGGAAATGCAGTTACACAAAATGACCAGAACATCATCAGATCCTAATGGCATTATCTCCAAATATCTCAATGCTTCTGGCTTCGGTTGGTAGAGCTGGGCAGATCTGATTTTGAGCAAGTCATTTTAAGCGGATTCCTAAAGGTAAGACTCCACTTGTCCTATTTCCTGGCAATGGAAGAGAAGCCAGCCTTTTCTTACCCTTGGAGAACTTTAAACACAGATGTCTGCTATTTGGACATTAACTGAGCACCTTCCTGCCTAATGTTGCTTTGTAAGGGCTATGGAGTTGGAGAGCAAGCTGTGGAGAGTAAAAGGATCTTACTGGTTGGAAACTAGTGCCCTCCTTTTCTTAAGGAGTAAGGAGGCATTATTCAATAGCCAGGAAGTCTCTTCACTCCCCATCTCTGATCCTCACTTCCCTTATCTGTAAAATGGGAAACCGATACCAAATGCCATTGAGTTGATTCTGACTTACGGCAACCTTATGTACAACAGAAGAAAACATTGGCCTGTCCTGTGTCATCCTCACAATTGCCAGCATGTTCAAGTCCATTGTTGCGGCTATTGTAAAAATCCATCTTATGAAGGGTCTCCCTCGCTCTTGATGGCCCCTACTTCGCCAAACATTATGTCCTCCTCCAACAATTGATCCCACCTAATGATGTGTCCAAAGCAAGTGAGTCAGATAATGTTCTGTTGGGAACCATAAAGTTTTCATTGTCTAATTTTCAGAAGTAAATTGCTAGGCCTTACTCTCTAGTCTGGTAGCTCTGCTGATACTTGTCCACCATGGGTGACCCTGCTGATATTTAAAATGCCAGTGACATAGCTTCCAGCATCACAACAACAGGCAAGCTACCACAGTACAGAAACTGACAGGCAAGTTGTGGAAAATGGGGATACTCATGGTTATTATCTGTCAATCCTGTGGTAAGGATTGAATTAAAATGTATGTATAAAGCTCATACCACAGGGCTTAACACGTGGCTGGCCCTTGGTAAATAAGAGTTATTATTATTCTCCTTCCATGCTGTGGTCTGCTACTTTCACACAAGTGTTATGAGTAAGATTACCAACTATTTTATGGCCCTGCCTTGGGATCTTCCCTGGATTTGTGAAGCAATATTAAGCTGTTGCTACAGCTAGGTTTCAAATAAATCTCCCAGGAGATGAAGCAGGGCACCGTGTGTCTGCTACAAAGGCCTGAGACCCAAACAGGAATGAGAAATCAGACAATGGAGCATGCTTTCCGGAGTGTTGTTGAGGAACCCATGCTGCCTCCAGAGAGGCGTGCTTAGAACAACTCGCTAATGAACCAGGCTTCCCTCACAAGCCCTGGGTCCACATTATCCCTGCCCAGGGCACTGGCCTTCTTAAGTCACTTGAAGGAATTCGTTCTTTCAAATGATCCTTCAAAATCAGAATCCATTTTTCTACATGCAAAATTCATTAATGGAACTGAAGATCAAGGGGAGGAAGAAGTGTGACCCTTTAGCAGAGCCCCTCGACCTCCCAGAAGCCAAATCTGGGCACCCTGTTCTGAAACTAAAATTGTATTAGTACCTTCTGCCTAAAAAAACATGATTTGTACGTTTCTGTGCTTTCACTTTTTCTAAAATAATTTTGCTTTCCTTTTATAATCAGAAAAAAAAAACCCAAACACAGTTTCTTTAAATATAGGAATTAATGAGATAGTCAAACTTACTGAAGCATTTTCATAGATATAATTTCACTTTTTTTCTAAACAGCCTGTGAAGCCAGAAAGGCAGATGGTTTCATTACAAAGACGGAGGTGGCAATGGAGGTGAAAGTCGTTCAAAATTTTATAGATAATCAGGGGCAGAAGCCAGGACTGCCCGAGACTGTTTTTCCTCATAATGTTTTCATCACAGTATTTTTCCCCCAATTCATTCAATAAACACATACGAAGCCTCAGCAGCAACTGAGGCAACATGAGAAGCAGTTGGAGATTCCAGGGATGGAGACGGTAGTGCCTGTCCCCCAGGCCTTCATTCCCTGGTGGAGGTGAACGTGATAGACTGACAAAGGAAATGTCAGTGCAGTGTGATGAGGAGCAGCCTGAACAAAGTGCTGGGAGTACTTGGAGGACGGAGTGACTAATCCCATGGCAGGGGCGGGGGATGATCAGAAAAAGTTACAGAGAGGAGGTGACATTTAAATGGCAACGTGCAGTCGAGCATGCAAGGGAGGAGCCCAGGCTCCCAAGCTTGGCAAACCTTAAAGGAAATCCAACCTCTACTCCTCATGCCTGTGAGACTCTGAACAAATTACTTATCTTTCTAGACACCTCAATTTACTCATCTGGAAAATGAGGATAATCATAAATTACCTTATGATTTTCTTTTTGAGGAATAAATGAGACAATACAAGTAAAACATTTCGTTTATTACTTAGCCCACAGTATAACTTCAAGGAACTAAACTATAGCCTTTATTATCAATATTAATAGTAATATTATTTTTTTATCTAAAAAAAATTATCGCCCATAGTGGATAAGTAATGAAAGAGTGTCTCCTCCGGTAGAGGGAACAGCATGTGCAAAGTCATGGATACGTCATAGTGTCTGAATTTTTGGAAAGTAGCAAGGAGATGGGTGTCAGAGAAAGTAGGGAGATGGGCGTTGGGAGGTGTGGAGGAGATGGGTGTCGGGAAGAATAGGGAGATGGGTGTTGGGAGGTGTGTAGGAGATGGGTGTCGGGGAAAGTAGGGAGATGGGTGTTGGGAGGTGTGGAGGAGATGGGTGTCGGGGAAAGTGGAGTGGCAGGAGTTAGTGGATAAGGACTACGTTGGAGTCAGATTATGAGGAGCTTGTTTGCTGTGGAAGGAACTTTTTTGCTTCAAGACAGTGGTGGGTGCAATTAGAGATACAAAAGTCAGGGGATGACATGGCCACATGTGTGTGTCAGAGAGACCCCTAAGGCAGCCGTGAGGGGCTGGATTGGGAGGGCTGGAGGACTGTAAGAGAAAGTAGAATTTGAAGTTCATTTCAGTGATCCATGTGGAAGAGACAAGGGCTGACGATGTTGAGTCTCTCAATTCAGTTAAACAAAGACTTATTGAATTTGGGACTTTCCTAAATGAGGAAAGCAGCTCCTACTCTCAGGGAGCTTAAAATCTAGTGGGGGAAAGATCACAAGGATAGCACTAGGAGGATTAAAAGGAGGGGAGGTGACACCAGGTGAGTCAGAGAAGGACACCTGCTGATTGTCTGAATTCCCCCACTGGACCATAGACTCTGTGAGGCCAGGGCTGTGTCCGCAGTTTTTTCTCAGTGTCTTTGGCACCTGGCTGGGCACAGAGAAGGAGCTCAATAACTGTTTATGGAAAAAAGTGATCTGGACTGAGGTTCATCAGAGAAGTTTTCTTGGAGCTGGTGGATGCATATTTGTGGAGAAGAGGGAGGGATCCAATCCAGGAAAGAAACTCTAGGTCAGTAATCTGAGTTTAGAGGTCCCCGGGTGGCACAAACAGTTTGCACTTACCTAGTAACCTATAGGTTGGAGGTTCAAACCCACCCAGTGCAGCTGTGGAAGAAAGGCCTGGCAATCTCTTTCCATAAAGATTAAAGCCCAGAAAACTCTATGGAGCAGTTCTACTCTGTAACACACGGAGTCGCCATAAATTGGAATCAACTCAATGGCAACAGATTTATTCTGAGTTTGTGAATGTGCTTGTTTCTGTTTTTGCATGCTTTGGTTTTGCCCTCTTTAATTCCTAGTTCTCAGCTACAGAAGGTATATTATTTTTATCTTAACAAACAAACACACACAATGACAGCAACAAATAAATTCTCGTCTCCTTCATCCCCCAAACATTATTTCTGCACGTGGGATTGGGTTCTGGCTGGGAAGAAAGTTGTGTGGATCATTCTCGATTTCAACAATTAGAATGGCTCACAAGAAAAAGGGCTTTTCTGTCAGCAAAAGCAGGCTATCACAGTATTGCATGTGCTACCTGGGAAACGAAGCCATAGAGGTCACCATGTTTAACGGATGATTACAAATATATATATTGAGGTCTTGCCAGGAGAAAAAAAAATGCAAGTTTCATTTGGATGGAATGTAATATAATATAGTCATGGATTCTGAGAATCTGTGAAAGCCGTTCGTAATAATAAAGCTTTTATTTGCTTTGGACCAAATAATCCTATGGTGTGATTTTATTGTCTTTTTATTTTGTGGTTTAAACCAAGGCAAAATGCTTTGCTCAAAATGATTATTTAGTCAGACAGACCCTATCTCCTTTAAATTGCATTTTGTCTGAAATGGACTTGGTCACATGTAATAAATTCTGGCATTTTAATGGAAACATTACGGCAAAAATAGTTAACAATCTGCTTTAATTTCAAAACTCATTTTCTCTTTCATACAGTCAGGCAGTATCTCGGTAGAATGTGTAAAGTGCATTGGGATTTAATTATGGTGGCAATTTGTTCTGAAACAAGGTTAAGCTGGGCTGTCACTGGTCAGGATAAAGGGGCTGGGGTGGTGGTTGGGGAGGACAGTAGTAACTTAATGTTCCTGGGTCTTGAATGCCCTATGGACCAGAGTGGAGTTAGAAGCCTTGGCACATAGCTGCTAAAGGTCTGAATCTGTGGAAGACCGGGTGCTCTTGGGAACACAAATCGGGACTGTATACACCAGTGGAGACATCCTCATGTGAGGACTGATGGAAAAGAGAAAACTGGACATCTGTTTCTTAGGGTCTTATCACTGGATCCAATTCATTTATTAATTTTTTCCTGCAACAGATATTTGAATGCTACTGTGCTAAGTGCTGCAAATACAAAGGCAAGCGAAATTAAGCAATTTTCTTACTTTAGGTAGGTAATACGCCAGTGACCGGGAAATGCATTCCTCAAAAAATGGCACAAATATATGTATGAGGGCTACAGTGCCAAGAACTCTGATGGAGAGGTCTGTGGCGCCAGGTGAGTGGGTGAGATTATTTGGTGTGGTCTGGGCAATGGTGGTGGTAGCCTTGGAAGGCATTGCCTGGGAAGCCCCAGTGGAGGTGGAAACTGAGCAGAGATGGTAGTGTGGTGGAGAGTGTTCCAGACAGAAGGCACCGTGTACACAGACCCTTTTGTGTGTGTGTGTGGTAGGGGGCAGGGATTGTTAGCATCATGGGTTCAAGGAACCCAAGGAGGCTCCGTGGGACTGGAGAGCAGACAGTGAAAGGGCTTGTGCTGGGAGAGTCAATGGGAGAGGCTGTGGGGCCAGGCCATGCAAAGTCATCTAAGTCATGGTCACAAGCCTAGTTTTACTTCCTAAGTTCATTGGGAAGCCATTGAATGGTTTTAAGCCAGAGAGTGACATGATTTGGATGTAAATTTTGCTATGATTGTTCTAGCTGCCATGGAGGATGAATTGGATGGGGAATGGAGTGGATGGGGGGAGACCAATTAGGACAGTCTTGTTGGAGGCCAGGCGAGAGACGAACATGACCTCGGACAGGATGACAGTAGTGGACACTTGCCTTGGGACCTGGCTTAGTCTGCAATGAAAAAATCAAGCTCTGTGTTTTCCAGGAGTTATCTCTGCTCTTCAGGGCTGGAGGGTTCTGTAGGAGGCAGGAAGAAATCATATATTTGGGAAACCTCTGGGGTAGGGGTGGTGAGATGTGATCAATAGGAATTTAGGCTGTAAATTGGTTAAAATAAGATGGGAAGCAGTTGAGTTGAAAGTACCCAAAAGAGTATTAGGATCATTTAGCCAGTCAAGGGTTTGCACGAAACGTGAACAGTGTTGGATTTGTCCCCAGTTCTTTTTATTGCAAGCAAAGCTCAATGGGTATAATGATCATAAAACATCTATGTTTCATGAAAGTTAAAAAAAGAAATATGTTTTGAGCATGAGGCAAGTTGCCTGGAGCAGCTTAAAATTAGAGCCTTTTCAAGTGAAAGTTACATTGAAGCAAAAATTGTACCTGTAGGCAAGAAGGGGTTTCAAGTCTATCCTCAAAGATCTTTGATTCTTGGTGCTCAGCCCCTCTGGCATTCTGCCTGCCAAACACATCACTCCTAACACTCACTTGCCACGTGATTTCTGCAAACCTTTGAGTAAATCATTAATCTTACTTAATTGCCTCATGCTTAAAAGGGAGGGGACTGGCTCTTCCAGTCCCTTTCACCTTTAGGGTATGTGATTACGCACTGCAGGAATCCTTCACCCCCCAGCGTTAGGCTGTGTTTCATATGCCATGTGTTCTTCTGAATCGCTGAGGACTTTGTTGTTTAATCATGGTTTCTGGTGGTTCTACTAAGGCCAGGAAGAATTCATTCCTTATCCATCCCATTATCTGCCCCGAGAAAATCTTAAACCTGTTTCCACAGGGTTCTGAAAACCACTGCAGCCTCTTGAAGACATCTTCTGCCCCCTCTCCCGATTTACTTCAATTGGCAAATGAATGAATAGGCCTTTGTTGAGCCCCTGTCCTGGGCTTTCATTCAATTAATTGTCAGGACCCCTTGTAAGGCAGGGGTCGTGCTCAGCACGGTTGCAGTAGAGGTGGTGTGCCATTGAGTCGATTGTAACTCCTAGTGACCCTATAGGACAGGTAGAACTGCCCCATACGGTTTCCAAGGCTGTAATCTTTACTGGAGCAGATCACCAGGTCTCTTCTCCCACAGAGTGACTGGTAGGCTTGAACCTCCGACCTTTTGGTAAGCAGCCTTTTGGTTAGCAGCTGAGTGCTTAACCATTGAGCCCTTTGCTCAGCACTGGAAACGAGGAATTGAGTCTCAGAGAAGTTTAAGTAACTTGCCCAAGGTCACTCAGCAAAGAGATCATGGCAGAATGGTGTCAAACCCAAGACTTTTGATTCTGTGTCCAGGGTGGTTGTGTGCGTGTGTGTGTGTGTGTGTGTGTGTGTGTTTCCTTCCTAAATTGGAGTCTCATAAAGTGAGAGCCTCTCACTCTAGGTGTAAACAAGTTTTAGCTGGTTCCTGGCCCAAGCAGGAAAACATACATTGAATCACCTGATGGGAAAGTTGTTTTCTTTTCAGTTCTCTCTCAACCATCCTGCTTAGTGAAGTAGAAAATGTGTTTAGTGTTAATGTGGCTTTAGCACGTGTTGGATATTTGTTAATCTCCCTTTAACAAAGCGAGCTGGTCTCTGGCTTAGTGCCTTCAACACCCTAGCAAGAACTTAATAAAATATTTTGATTTCATCTTCTATTTATGGAATATGATATTCATTTTCCTTGTGGTGATATACTGTTGCTCTTTAAGGAAAAATATAAATAAATTATATTTCAGGTGTTGTTATTGTCATTCTGTGCTGCTGAGTTGATTCACGACTCACAGTGACCCGGTAGGACAGAGTAGAACTGCCTAATAGTGTTTCCTAGGTTGAAATCTTTACAAAAGCAGAGCTCAAGATCTTTTCTCTTGTGGAGCCTCTGGTGGTTTTGAACCGCCGACCTTTTGGTTAACAGCCAAGTGCTTAACCATTGTGCAACCAGTACTCCTTAGTTCTGGTGTAAGGGTATAAATAATAAAAATCATAAATATGTATCCATCTGAATGAAGCTGGATCTGCTCCATTGACTCACGTGGCCTTCCTCACTCTCAGGACACACATGGCTTCTCATGATCATTGTGGCACTAAGTTCTGAAGCTGTTCCTTGTTTCCCTGGGACATATATAGAAGCAATTATGATGAGAACCATCCCTTCCCTTAGGGCCGTTGAGACCCCCTTCTTAAGTCAAAATTTTACAACCCAAGTATACCCAAGCTAGTAATGGAGTCTTAAAACCTAGGAAAAATATGTAAGTTTATTGCAAAAGATAATATCCCATTTAAAACAGTTTAGAAATTTACAAAACCTTACATTAATACATCGTCTTTAAGAAGGTGCTCTATAGATGAGCTGGTGTTAAGTTCCAAGTATAGTGAGTATGCATTTTTTTAATAACTACAGAGAAAGCAGCTACATAAATTCCCGCAACTTAAGTTGATATTTCATTCTTTTTTTTCCCTTCCATTTTATAAAAGTAATTTTTACTAAATTAATCTCTCTCCATAAAACCATATAACCTCAAGTATTTCTGTAGAATATCATGGCAGACGTTACATAATATTTTACAAAGAAGAAGCAATTTTCACATGAGTAGTGAGTATGGAGTTTTGGTATATGTATGTGTGTTTTGTTAAACAGAGATGGTCATTTTTGTTCAGCAGGAAGGTGTTTACCAAATCCTTTTCCCCCAAAACAATTTTAAATGTTCAACTTTCCCAGTTTCCAGTCTGTGGCCCAAGCAATGCTGTGTTGTGCTTTGGTATAGAATCATTATAGCCTAGTTTGGTTCTATTTCTAGAAATGTCAATTTTTTCCAATGTAGATTTCATTTAACTCCATTGAAGGTTTATCTGAGGCCCTCAACGTACATAGATGACTACAGCAACTTTTTAATTATCAAAGCGTATGTTGCCATGTTTGGTCTGTTATCTCAGACATCTCTTTATTATTCCAGGCTAACTTTGGCAAATGATTCAGCTCAGCTCAGGTCAGTCCATCTCGTGTTGGAATGTGTTAAAGCTTATAAAGTGGATAGGGCAGGTGTTCTTACCCCATTTGGGAATGGACAAACAGGCTCTGAAAGTTTTAGCAAGTTGGCCAAGGTTAGTGGAAAAGACTGCTGTTTTGCTTGGGTCTCTGAATTCCGGGAGCAGCATTCTCTTTATTCTAGCATGCTGCCCAAGAATCTAAATTCATTTGAAAATTAGTGTAAGCAAATTAAGATGGAAGCTCTACTACAAGATGAAATTATATCATAGAACCCAAATGATTTGCTTTATTGGATTATCCTCTGTGCTGTTCTTTTCCATTTCTGGGGCCAACTGAGAGTTGATTGTATGGATACAGAAAGAAAGATCTGTGGCTTTTAGACAGTGGTAGCGTATCTTATTGAAATGTGGCTTCCTAAGTATGACAAGTGTATTTATCTTAATTCTAACGACGTTATATATGCTGCTCTCGTTTTGTGGGTTTAAACATTACACTAGAAACAGAACAAGAACATCCTGAATGACATTCCAAGACTTAAATAGTGCAGGCCGAGATTCCTTGCCAAGTTTCCTTCTCGGTCTCACTGAAATAGCTTTGTGCACTGCAGAGCTGTGACAAGGGAAGGTGAAACTATTGGAGTGGTTTGCTCAAATACTCTCAATTTGCAGTGGATTACATACATCCTACTTACACACGGGATGCTGAACCCTGCAAAGAACCTAATGCAGATACTGGATCTTCAGAAAAGGGGGTTCTGAAATGCCTTCTTCATTTAATACATGCTTTTCTGTCAGCATCAGTCCATCCACAGGCTGGTAGAGAATTTGTATTAAGAAGAGTCTGAACCTTGCTATTTTACCCCTCACCCCCAAGAGTATGTAGCAATTACTTAATTTTATTACTTTAGTAGTTTGTTCAGCCATGCAAGTTTGACGGGACCTCTGTGTATAGGGTCTTGTCAAAAGAATGAGCCAGACCTTAAAAGAATTCAGACTTCGGGGAAGAAAGGTCTTTAATACTAAAATGAAAAAATATATGCATATATATCCTTATCCCCAGTTCTGCTGCTGCTTCTGCTTCAATCAGATGACCATAGTCTGCTCACCAGGAAGGGAGACTGTGTGATTAATATATGTTTGAACCTATCTACAAGGCTGCTGCAGGAGAATGCGTGGAAGGAAAGGATGAGAACCAGTGTTGTGTTTTTTCCTACCTTATTTATTGTACTGATAAAATGTAACTGATAGGCTGCTGGATGTCATGATCTTTAATGTTGCAGATAAACCAACTGTGGAATCTTAAAGTTCAAACTCAAGCCAGATTCCACACTGCTGCCAGGCAGTCTCAGTTCCCAGAGGCATGATGGTTTAGGGCGGGTACTGGAGCAGCTACAACTGTGGAAATCCTCTTAAAATTTCAACCACAGCCCTTACTGATTAAAACCATGCAGGGAAGCCACAGTGTCAATTCTTTATACCCTGGGGTGACCTAACTTTGGGGCAAACAGTAAGGCCCCACGGTGTGACAGGACAAGTCCTTGATTCGGGATCAAGGAGCTAATTAAAAATGGCCTCAACACACCACAGTGATCTTGCATTTTTATGCCCTGCCCACTTCTGTTGTGCTTATGTATGTTGATATCTTAGTAAACTGACAGTTTATTTATTTATCTACTTTGTCTGGGGTATCTGTGTATAACCCTCCTCTATCTTCCTGCTCTGCACAGCACTTTTATTTTCTTTTGGGTTGATGAACCTACTATGGGAAGCAAGTGCTTAGTGTTATGGAGGTGCTGGAAAGTGTGGTAGCGAGTTTTGCTCACGGTGGAAATCTGGGCCTGCAAACCAAGATTATGCCTGGCTGTGGGTGACAGGAAACTCGGTCACTCTAGTGTCCGTGAAGTCCTCAGCAAGCAGTGGCACTCACTCAGGTAAGGCTGGCGTCCGGTCTCCAGCAGCGGCTATACCAGCCCCAAGCCTTTCCTGATTTGCAAGGTCAAGTGGCTCACACCCTCGAGCCTTTGCCGAGATGCAGAGAAGGCCTGAGAGCAGTGGTTTTCCTAAGTCAGGGAGGCCATTTGGCGAGGGCAGAGAGCATGGTTCCAACCAGCTCAGATCCACCAGAAGCACTTCTTCTTCACCTTCTTGGTTTTCCGCCTCAAGTCCTGTTTCTCAGGGACTGGGGGTTCTACTGGGGACTTTGGTCGGGAAGAGGCCTCCTCAACAGGTTCCGCTTCCTCCAGACTCTGTAGAACTTCATGGAACCTGCCTTCCTGCTGCCGGAAATCATATTCTACACTGAAAAACACAGAGAGGAAGAATGGAAAGTAAATTCAGTTAGCATGTACGGATTTAGCATCACCAAGTGCCCAGTTAGACAGGAAGTGCTGGGCTGACATGAAAGAGCAAGGGCTTTGGGTTCTAGTCCCAGATCCTTAGTTACAGACTGGCTGTGTGACCTTGGGAAAGTTATATCATCTCTCTGAACCTCCATTTCCTCATTGACTGAATTGGCACCTGCACTGCCTTCCTCATGGGGAAGTTATTAAGATTAAATGAGGCGTGTAACGTGGTAATCTGATGGTAGATGTTCAGTATATATTGCCTCCCATCTCTGTCTTATATTTATTCAATGCTTTAAATTTTTAAATCCTCTTAATTTTTAACATTTTTTGCATGTTATGCATGAGAGATGTCTCATTATACAAGATTCAGGTAATACAGAGGAATATACAACCAAACGTGACAGATCCCTTTGCCTCAGCCATTCCCACTTCACTCTGCAAGGGTGACCACCCTCAAGAGTTTGGTATCTAAGTGGTTCCAGGCCTTTCAGTACATTTATATACATATATATGTGCATAGGAACATTTCGTTTTTCTTGTATAAACTTTTCCTAAATTTATACATCCTGCAGAAGGGTAGTCAGAGTTGTGACTAAGTACACAGGCTCTGGACCCCAGGGTTCAAATCTAGCCTCCTCCATTCATAAGCTGTGTGTGTATGATATTAGGTAAGTTCCTTTACTCTTCAGTGCCGCAGTTTCCTGATCTGTAAAATGGGGATAGCAATAGCACCTATCTCAAAGGCTTTCTTTGGAATTAATATGTGTAGAGCAAGTGTCTTAGTCATCTAGTGCCGCTATAACAGAAATACCACAAGTGGATGGCTTTACAAAGAGAACTTTATTCTCTCACAGTCCAGTAGGCTACAAGTCCAAATTCAGGGCATCAGCTCCAGGGGAACGCTTTCTCTGTCGACTCTGGAGGAAAGTCCATGTCATCAGTCTTCCTTTGGTCTGGGAGCTTCTCTGCGTAGGAACCTCAGGTCCAAAGGATGTGCTCTGCTCCCGGCACTACTTTCTTGGTGGTATGAGGTTCCCCTGTGTCTCTGCTTGCTTCTCTCTTTTATATCTCAAAAGAGATTGGACTAAGACGCTATCTTATCTTGTAAACCTCATCAGCATAACTTCATCAAAGTGATAGAATTTAGAACACATAAGGAGATCACATATAACCTCATCATAGTGATAGAGTTTACAACACAGAAGGAAATCACATCAGATTACACAATCATACAATACTGGGAATCATGACCTAGCCAAGTTGCTACACACATTTTATGGGGGACACAATTCAATCCATGACAGCAAGATAATACAAATGAAATACTTAGAGCAGTACCTGGCACGAAGTCAGCCCTCCAAATGTGTTAGCCCCTATTCCTGTTGTTATTATCATCATTAGCATTGGTACCTCAAATATATAATGCCTGGTTGTTTGGCTTGCTTCTCAACAATGCGTCTTGGAGACCTTTACCTCATAGTATTGCATAATGCAGGTCTATTTAAATACTCCCCTATGAGTAGATATTTCCTAATGTCTTTTTTTTTTTTTTTTTGGCTAGTTGTGTGTGTGTGTTGGAGTCAATAATATACAGACTTGATCGTATTGCATTGACTACCAAAAAGGCCTGTGAGATAAACATGAAGCTGTGGGGCCCGGGGCTCCCAGAGTTTGAGGGAGTTGGAGGTCAGGGCAGTGCAGAAGCTCTGGGCTGTGTGGGCTGGTGTGTGTGCTCCCCCTGGACCTCTGCCAAGGAAGTCAGGCCAGTAGGCCGCAGGGACTCCCAGCCTGCCTCCTCACTCTGGCTCAGCCTCCCCGCAGAGAGCCGCTGGGCCAGAAAGAAGGAATCCTGTTAGACAACCTTGCAGGCTGTGCTTGAGCTCCTTGTGCCCGTAGTTGTCCACTCTCCTCCTAGGAGATTTACTTACGGAGGAGTTTTCAGTGCCAGGTGGCTTGTAAAAAGGCTCTTAAGCTTGCAGATACATCTGTTACCTGGTTTCATAGCAGGGCTCTCTGAAGACCCAAGGTTGAGAGAGCCAGCGTGGGAGTGCCCAGAGTACAGGAAATGCGGAGTCAGGAAAACAGTGCATTCTTCTTGTTAGCAAGGAGGGGAATGGAATGCTTCATACGGAAGATGAAAGATCCCATGTTGGTGTGTGACATGGCGTGACTAGCTAAAGCTTGTATACCCAGCAAGGACTAAAAATGAGCTGTCGGTGAAGGGATACCTATCTTCTGCTACTTTCCCACATTACCTCCCTGAGACGCAGGCTCAGAGTTAGGGCTAGGGGTGATTGACACACAGCCTTGTCATTGAGCATCCTGAGATAGAAGAGCCGAGGCTGAAGAGTCTGCTGGGCCAGGTGGCCTCCTTGGAAGCCAGGCTGATGGGATCTCAGTGCTTAGTGGGTGCTGGGGAAAGGTGTCTAATTGTTTGGTTTCTGTATTTTTAATAAGCATTACCCAGATTTTCTTTTCTTTGGCTTACCTCCTTCCCCTTTCTGCTTGTCGGAATTCTCTCAACAAGGACACAGTCCTGGCTGGGTGACCTACCTAATGGATGGAACTCAGGCTGTGATCAAAGCAAAGCTCCACCACTTATTAGCTGTAAGATCTTGGGGAAGTCACTTTCCATTTTCAAGCCTCAGCATCCTCATCTGTAAAATGAGCGTGGTACCTACTCACAGGATCTCCAAAAAAAGAAAAAGAAAACCAACAACCAGTTGCTGTTGAGTCGTTTCCAACTCATGGCGACCCCATGTGTGTCAGAGTAGAACTATGCTCCTCCATAGGGTTTTCAGCGGTTGAGTTGTTGGAAGTAGATCACCAGATCTTTCTTCCAAGGCTCTTCTGGGTGGACTTGAACCTCCAACCTTTTGTCTAGCAGCCGACTGTGTTAACCATTCATACCACCCACAGGATCTCAGGAAATCTAAACAACTTTTTGCAGTACAGCACTCAGCACAGAGGTAGGCACAAAGCGCTCAGCCTGTCATTGACAAATGTTTATTGAGCATCTTCCATTGCCAAGCCCTGTTGTAGCTTCTGGGGAAGGAGTGATAGATTGACAGACACTATCCCTGGCCACTTGACACTGCTAGCACAGTGCCTCTGTGGCCTCAGTAAATCCTAGCCAACATAAATTGCTATTAGAGATCTTCTAGCCAAAGTCCAAGAATTGCCAGGTCACTGGGCACAGGCATCTGTAGTCTCACATACTGAAGATTCCACTTCCAGCACACGTCACCTAGAAATGAACTTCTGTTTGTCTCTGGGGAAGGGGTGGGTTTCAGTCTGCACCTACTTGCACCTCACTGTCCGCCGTGGAAACTTAGGGATATGGATTCAGAGGCTGGGAAACAGTTGTCTCCATCAACCTCTGCATTGCACCAAGGAAGAATTTAAAGTAGTGAGTTGCAAGTTCAGATTCTCATGCCTTCTAGCACTGGAAACATGCACAGTTAACAGATAGTGAAAATCTATATTCACAGCTCTCATCTCTGAAACAGACCTGTCCTTCCCCCCGAGAGAGAAAAACTGTCTTCAGCCTAGAGCACCAGGTGGAGTCAAAGAGAATAGGTACCCCCTGCTCAATCTGTTTTTTTTTAATGCTGTATAGTATAGGACATTCCATCCATCTATCCATCCATCTATCCATCCATCCATCTACCCACCCGTCTGTCCGTCCGTCCGTCCACCCACCCACCCATTCATCCATTCTACTCTGGGCCTGACAACAGTGCTAGGTTCCAGAGACACAACAGTAAGCTAGACAGACTGCCCTTGTAGAACTTACTACTTCCCATCGTGCAAAACAGACGATTTAACAATTACTTTCAAAATATGCTTCTTATTTGTCGCAACTACCCCTGACTACTTTCCAGCTTATCATCTATATGCTCCTACCAAAATATATGAACACTAGCCTCCTTCCACTCCTCATATATGAAATTTCTCTGACTTCATGATTCAAACAAACAACAACAACAACAAAAACACCCACCTGGGTTTGTCAAGACTCACAACAGTGTCCTAATACCAATTAGAAAAGTAAGGCTCTGGGTGATTCCAGAAGGTGTACAGAACCGGCAGGCCTGGGAAGAGAAGAGCCAGGAGACAGAACATAAATTCTGTCTCATCATCACCATTTGAAGTGGTGTCCAATAGAGAGGAGGGAGCAAGGGCTTTTGAGTTGGACGCTCTTAGCTACACCATTTACTAGCTGGGTGACCTTGGACAAGCTGCTTCTCTTTCTGTGACTCGGTTAAATGTGGGGGTTATAATAGCCACCCACTGGCTATTATAATAAGTGAAATCTTCTCACATAGGCCACTCTCCCTGCCCACTCCACTCTCCACTAAGTCCTTTTGTCTTCGTCGCTGAGGGACTGAATGCCTCACCTCCTCGCTTATACCTTCAGCTCTTCAGTAATTGTACACCTTGCGAGCAACGTTGCTCTTCATCCTTCCCCTTCATGTACATTCAGGGAAGAATACACTCTTTATGTTTCTATGGAAACACACAGGGGTCCATTATAATCATTGGGATTTAGGGAGCTCCCTGGCCCCCTCTTGTGAGACTGCCCCCACTGGTCTTGACAATTTAAAGGGTTTTAAAAGTGACTTTCTTTTCAAGGCCAGGCAAATAGCAGAGTATAGAGAAGCATATGCACTTTGGTAAGAAATTGATTAATGTGTTTTAGGCCAAAGCAATTTATTAGCATAAAGGAAAATTGTCAGGTTTCTTCTTATTCATCCATTTGACAAACTACTGTTTAGTTTGGACCGGAGGAGAGGGAGTGTATTTTGCTCTTCATGGCAGCTGCCTTATAAATGGGGAGGGGGCAGTGCCTTCTCTCTCATCTACTTTTCATCTTTTGGCTGGGCAGAGAAGAAAAGATGCCCCCCAGCTTCCTACTTAGCCAGCTCACACTGTGTTCAGCAACCTCATGAA